TGGGCCCACAATGAGAAGTGACAACGGGAAGAGTCTGTCATTGTCTCGCCTAAGTGTTCAATCTGCCGGGATGCGGTATGTAGATTGTGTCAGTTAAAGAAAGAGGAGAGCTAAAACACTGGCTCAGTGAAGCTCTCGAATCACTTAACTGGACATAAAGGTGTGAGTATGCTAATTGTATTATGTTTAGAAAATGTCATCCTATGTCTCATACTTTTATCTGTTCATATAAAGAAATGCAGCGTTTTATTTGCTTGAAAATCACAGGACATTGACATTGTGGATAGTCCTCATCATCTGTGCTTTGTGTAATTGCAGTATATACCTGCACTTTAAGTTGTGCAAAGTTTTGCATTTGTGCAAAGTTGATGTCTGCATTTGATCAGATGCTTGATGACCTTTCCCAGTCGGTCCTCCATGGCTTGTGACCCTGACCCTGTAATTGTAAAACATAGTTTAAAGCACTACTACTCTGGACAGTTAGACAGGCCTTCTGTGAATCATGAGCTTATAGAACCTCTCCGCTGCTGAAATATGGACCATAAGTTAGTATCTGTGTAAAACACAACAAAAGCTCAGTGATGGGAGAAGAATAATCTGTTCGGACGTGGGGCATTCCTCAGTCTGCTCTCTGCCTCAGTCCTGGGCCATCTCATGGCCTTGCTTTGTGAATGGAATGGAACATCTTTATGTTCCTTTTGTTCACATTATATATACTGGCCAGTGTTGCCATTCCTTTTATGACTGCGTCACATTTTTTATTGTATATCCCAAGATGGATGGCGTGCCTCTGACACAGAGATTTACGGGCCTTCAGCTGGCAGTGGCAGAGCTTTAGAAGGTCCTGCTGACATGTAGCCAGCGCGTTGGAGGAGGAGAATAAAAGCTGACATTTTATTGGCTCCAAGAGAAAGTGAGTGAGAGGGTAGAAGAGTGGTTAGGGAGGAAAGGAAAAAACATTTTGTCTTTCTGCTTTCTATATTTCAGCAGCTGTGGCACTGACCCGCTTAAAAGTGGGGATTTATGAGGTATTATTTAGAAAGTTGTCATTGGTAATGGCTACAGCTATGATTTCAATTATCACCCACTAAGTATAGCTTAATTCAGTGCCTTGCTAGCCATAATGAGCAGCCTTGACATCATTTTTCAAAATTCAATACTTTGCTATTTTAATATTTTATGTTGACCACCGATTTAATTTTCCTCCTCGGTGCTTGGCATGTGCCGAGGTCCCACTCCCTCCAGCACAGTCAGATAGTCAAAGCTATTGAGTTCAAAGCAGTCCCAGGGATATATTTTTTCCATTGACAGAAATCCAATTAGTTTTAGTACACAGTCTGGCTGAATAAAGGCGGTCTTAAAATCTACAATATGTTTCCTTAGCGTTTTAGCAGAGTGCTCTGCTGGTGATGGATCTTTATGATTGAACCTGACGGACTCCGACTGGACGCGCCGCATTTTCTGTTCTGGTGATGGAAAAACAAACTGTCTAGATATCTTACTCAAATTGACGGGTATCTCCAAGTCTTTTGATATTGCGTAAACATCTTAGCCCATGATGTTGACTTTTGTGCATATTTAAACACTTATTAAATACTTAACGGCTAAAACACAAATTCTGCTGTAAATATGAGGAAAGAAAGAGTCAGATGTATAATTCATCAGTGACATGTTTAGTAAGTACACGATTTGGGGAGAGTTAATATGTGCTCTGGTTTTGACATGAGGGTGTGCATTTTTAAGTGAACATTAAAAGGAGGATGATTAGGTCTGGCGTTTAACTGTCAATAACAAGGCTGCTACTTCAAACTGACGACAGGGGAACATTTTGGATTCTCATTCTCCACTCTGAAATCAGCAACACATGCAAAGTCGTTTAGGAACCTCGCCAGCGATTAGGATCTGTCCATTTGAAAGGTTTACAGGGAAAAGGCAATATGGACGCCAACTAATGTTTGAGCTACAACCTGTGTCTCTCTTAGTCCATAACTCAAGCACTGTTTATGTTCAACCTATTTCACAGATTGATGATGTAAGCAACTGGAAGGCATGGAACAGATTAGAAGAGAAAGCTTGCAGAGGGGCAGCTATACTTCTACTTCCCCTGGCGTATTCCCAGATAGGGGGGAAAGAAAGAAAAAAAAGTTTTGGAGTCTGTTTTGGAAGAGGAACAAAGGCACATCCTCTGGTATAGTCTCGGCAGTTTTAGTTGCTTCATGGCTTTCAATCACCCAGTCTTTCCTAAAGGACCCAAGGGTGAAAAGTGGAGACAGACCCAAGTGTATGGGTGCCAGAGTTCAGAGATGATTGCAGTTAGCTGTGCTCCGGGGTTTAAGGACTACATGATAAATAATGTCAGGGAAATAATAAATCCTTTTAAAATGCTTTAGAAGTCAAACGATTGCACCATAATGGCTGCTAGGATTGTTTTTATATGCAAGTATGTGCACTAGGAAATACAGTAAAGATGCATTTACTGTGTCTTCGAGCTTGAGTATGACATTTCCCAATACTGTTGGACGAATTCAGTATTATTGGTTCATAATTGTATCTGAGGACGAATGTAAGATTAAGATTAAGGGATACAATCTTTTCACTTGTTTGCACATGTCTTTTTGCACACCTGAGAGATCCATTTATGTGAGCTCAATACATTTTTATCTTATCTTCTATACCTTATTTGTACCCACAGTGGGGAAGTTCAACCCCTTCATGTTTAAAAGAAAATACATTTTAGTAGTTTTTATGTTTTTTGTTTGTTTGTTTGTTGTACTGCCTTTTAGTCTGCAGCACTTTGAGTTTTCCTGGAAAAGAAAAGTCCAATATGAATAAAATAAATGATTATCTATTATTCTATTCTATCTATTATCTGTTAATTACTATATTACATTTCAGTGCTGCAACACCGGCTACAGAGCAGTAGGAATGAGGAGCACACAACACAAGATAAATGAACAATAACACTATAGAACGCAATACAATACAACAAATGTACAACAAAATATCGCCAACTCATTCTGTCAGCATTTGAATCCATTCTGCCGATTTAGCCTCTTGTAATGACTTAAACGAACACATATTAGACTGGATTAGCCCTTATAATCCTTGCAGGGAAATTACTCATCCCTCAATGAGTTTCTGAATTATATTTCTAAGCATTTGTGCAGATTTCATTCATTAAATGGATCAGGTTGGAGGCATGGATCGAGAAGGAGTGGACTACAGTATAACCCAGCATCCAGACCTGTGGCCTTATTGCAGAGGAAGCCGATTAGAGCTAGCTAGAACAGGCTATTTGACCCGGAATCTGAGACCAAATATATGCAAATTCGTGGTAGCTTTAGCCAAAGTTGTGAGACAGAAGACGCATGATTGGTCAGTGGGTAGACGATATACAAATACAATAGACATAGATAGTATATGAATGACAGATAGATACTTTTTTAATCCCCCGCAGGTGTCCAGTAGGAGCCGAAACACATCCATTCACACTAACAAAACAAATAAATAGATCATTCTAAAGGTACCCAACAATAACACCAGGATCACAGACAGCACTAAACCACAGATTATTAGTGACACAAACGGTCACTGAGCTAGAGGAGTTTACTTTTCAATCCAAGTCAACGGGAGCCAAAGCGAGATAGAACGAAACTTTGTCCATAGCTCTTTCCTGTTGGGCTTCACTGAGTTAGCATAGTTAGCATTGTCCAGCTATATACAGTTTATGGTTGGAGCTTGTAGTTCTGACTGCCACCGGTAAATATGTGCAGTGGCCATGTTTTGACTAAAATTTCAAAGAAAGCATCGCAGTTTTATATTTATTTATTTGTGACGTTTTCCCCCACAATGCCTCCGTCAGATTTTTCTGTTCCAGATCGTGTTTTAACAGTTTCAATATATTTTCAGTTTTGGAAGTGTGACTACTCTTCTCTCTACTATTTTTGATCTTCCTAACTTTGTGACTTTTTCCTTTTCTGTATATAGTTAATGTGAGTAGAGAAATCGAGAAGAGCAAGCACTAGTAACCATAGCAACACACTCTTCACTTGCTACCATTTAGCATTAGCCTTTTAGCCATTAGCCTTTTTTCTGTATTTTAAGTTATTTTCATCAGTTTTTACACTTATTAAAAGTGAGTAAAGGTGCATTACAATAAAACTGATGGTAAACTCACTATATTTTCACAAGTTTTTAGTAGTAGTAATTTTAGTAGTTTCATAATTCCTGGTGTTAACCGCCATCATTTGCTGATTTTACACAGAGACAATTTTTGCTGTATTGTCACTCTAATACGGGTCTCTTCTCATTACAGCTGTTTCCTTTTACTTTTTTATAAAACCCTGTTATTTGTTCAAGCTGGAGTGGTTCTGCGCATAAGTACTCGGACCATCTTCCGGCTGAACAGCTGCGGCGCATTCTCATCATTGTTGTATCTCATTTCCTGTTTGGGTTCGTGATAAACATATAGTCACCCTTTTCACTGCCCGTCTCACATTCTAAACCATATCTGCTCCGGACAGGAAGAGCCCTCCTTGTCTTTTCAACACTTTCTCTCTGACTACAGTTCTGCATGTCATTTTTTTTTATACAACTTTGCTTGTATTGTTTCCAAAGCACTTGGAGAAACTTTTGAGATCTGCAGTTGAGAAATGAAATACATACTGAGCTTTTAAAGGCTACTACATCTGACATCCATCAGCATGGAAATGTGTTTTAATGGTCTGGCAGGCTGCAAGACATCATACGCTATTGCCTCACTTTGCACCCAGGGACATATTGAGATACGAAACAGTGACAGTGCGTTTCATGTCTAAGCTCTTGACACATTGTGAGTTGAAAACTATAAGAATCTACACCATCTGCATAGCTGGGTGTCCTCCTTCAGATCTTACACCAGTGAGTCCAATTCCAGTAACGCGTTTGTCCGGCCTCGGTAATTATTTGAACTACAGAGCGCGAGTGTGCGATGCGTTTGGTGCTGTCGGTGCGTTGTGGTGATGCGTGAGAGCGGCTCCCCAGTGGCGTTGGTTGGAGAGCGTTTGTACTGGGGGCACACTGGCTGGCTGGCTGGAGCTTTCTTTATTTGCTCCACTGTCTGGATCCCGGGGCCCCTGGGTGCTCCGAAAGCTCACTTGCACGTCTGCACTCAGATGTTTGAAAACACCAAACAAGCAGAGGAAGCGAGTGAGCGCACAGGAGGAGGAGGAGGAGGAGGAAAGAAGGGAGAAAGAGGAGAGAGAGGAGTAGAGGGAGATGGTAGGAGGGCAGGCTATCCTCCCCGGGCAGAGAGTACCAGCAGAGAGGCCCAGGCGGGTCTGCAGACACTGATCTGAGGGCCGTTTGAGTGTCAGGCAGATCAAAGACTCGCCAACACTCGCTCAAATCCCTGCACCTTCTCAGCCCGTGGCAGCTCGGTGCGGAAAGGAGAGCAATGAGCACAATTCATTGTTTTGTTCTGGTTTACAAATCAAATTGATGCTCAACCAAACCCCCACATTGTACATTAGTAATATTTTATACATATTAAACTTGGAGGACCAAACTTGTTTTTTCACCCTAAATAATATATGTGGTTTGTCCCAACAGAAAGAATCACAATTCTTTTATTGTCATTGTGAGTAGAAAGAAGTCACAAACTAATTGCTTTAGCTCTTGGTGCAAACAAGTTTATAAGTAAAAATATAATAATGCAGGCATATAAATACGTTTCTTCGAATGACTACTATATACAAGTTTACAAAGTACACACAATAGACGTCTTGTAAAGTAAAATCAGAGTACAATATGCTGTTTTTAGCATATCATTTGTATGCATACTTGTAAAGAAAAGAGCTCTGTGAGTCGCTACATACAATATGGTGCTATGGTGGCCCTCTCTTTTTCACTTTTCATGCAAATATATAATATAGGTACCCCACCTTTTAAAATTGAGAATATTTGAACAATAATAAAGAATTCACAATCATTTATCATCACATAAATGTTGCGACAAGCCAAAAGTGTCTGCTCTCTGCCTCAGTGTTTTGAGAGCGATAAACGTGTCACATAGATTTTATCATGGTTTTTCTTTTCATAGTATAACAGTTAGGTACCCCCACCTTTAAAAACATATTTTAGATATAGGAATATTTTAGCAATGTTAAGGAATACTATACAACAAACATCACCTCCCACAGCATGCAGTCCATTGTGTTCTGTTTTACTTCCCTCATGAATATACTGTTTCATAGATACATAGAAAATACTCAGTTTTATAGATACATAGAAAATATACCGTTTCATAGATACATAGAAAATACTCAGTTTTATAGATACATAGAAAATATACCGTTTCATAGATACATAGAAAATACTCAGTTTTATAGATACATAGAAAATATGCCTTTTCATAGATCCATAAAAAATATATCGATACATAGATACATAGAAAATATACCAATTCATAGAAAACCTACCTTTCCATAGAAACATTTAGCGCAGATAAGTGACAGACGCATGGACACAGCCGCTGCTTCGTGGCGAGCCAGACAGACCGTCAGTCAACACACCCCTCCCATGCTGCGATGGTGGAGTGAGCGTATCCTTCCATAGGGCCAACTGTTTAAATTAATTATTAGTTTTATAGCGCACCCCGAGGCCCTGCACAGGCAGCTAATCCCTGCAGAGGGCTAATCCGAGCCCGCGTTACAGAAAATCAATGTTGGTCTTTGGTGTTGGCATGCCATCAGGGCACGGGGACACATGTCAGACAGCCCTCCTGATTATTTTATGAGCTCCCTGTTTTGAAGTGGGAAAGTCAGTGCAGGATGCTTGAGGTACCCAGGATTGAAAAGAATATCCGGAAGCCAAAATAAGGCCTGGTATCACCAAAAACCTCCCAGGTATAGGGCTGATGCAAGCCTGGGTTTATGCATGTCCAGAATGCATACAGTTTATAGAAAATACGACTGCTCAGGCAAGGTTTTGGTTCAACATGAGTTAAAATGAGTGTTTTCAAGGTCCAAGGTTCAACTTTATCGTCCCCTTAGGGAAATGTACAATATGTGTATACACAAAAAAATACATGTGTTTTTTTTGTGTCTTAACTGTTGATTCTCTGATCTATGTTGGTGATTTCAATGGTTTTGTTAAGTCCTCGAGATGACTGCTGTTGTGATTTAGGGCTGTACAAGAATACATTGTATTGTTTTGTATTGTATTGTATTGTATGTGTCTTAGGCTCACAGTGCACTTGGACACAAACACACACTCAAAGACACTCAGGAGAATCGGCTCGTCTGCACAATTTCAACACAAGAATATACCATAGTATCACACAAGCCAATCAGTGCAAGGATACAAAATAATACACTAGTAAAAGACCACAGATAAAAAACAGTATTTACGCAATAAGCAACAAAGTACATACAATGACTAAAGTGCTAGTGTGGTGCTGATTCAGAAGTACTTTGCACTTGCCCCAACTAAGTGCTTGAGCAGTTGGAAAATACTAACCACCCTAACCCTAACACTAAACCATTCATCACTCTTTTGGTTTCTTGAGTGGGAATGTATCCTATTCTCAGCTGTGATTTCTATTGATTAAATGACAATATTGTGAGACATATCCATTTCCACAATACACATTAGTGAATATAATGTCAGGGATGAAGCAGACAGAGACGGATCGTGGTGTGCCAAACTCTGGAAGTTTATTTAAGTTTCTCTCAAGTTCCAGTTGTTTCAATTGTTTCTTTCTCTCAGACAGAATAAAGGCAGTACACAGTTTATATAGTCATTGTCACGTCACACATCGAAAGACGTACGTGTCACACAGAGACAGTCACATCATAGTCAAAATAATCAGAGTCCTTGTAGAGTCCTGCACGTAGGCCATATTGCTATCTAATACTAACAATAATCATTTGTTTAACTGACTGAACACATTGGATTGAAACAAAAATCTAAATTCCCTTGCTGTGGGATGAAACAAGGTTATTTTATCTTCGCTTAATTGAATCATTTCAAACACAGTCAACAAACACACACATACACAAACTTATCTCGATTATAAAGACACCCTGTGCACACACAAACACAATTATATACATGCATGCCCATAAAGAAGAAAAATAGATAAATAAAAAATAAAATCAGTATAAGTCACTTTAAAGAAGGAAAGCAAGAGGTGACCATTTTTGTTTCGTTTACAAAGGATTCTAGAGATCTACAAACACTTTCCGACCCTTCACCCCTCTCTCTCATCGCCTGCTCTTGTTGAGGGCATATTTCTCTCACCTCCATGAACCTCCTCAGTGTGTATTCATGATAGCGATGAGAATACTAAAGTCCTGAATGTTTTGTGGCTGCGTACATGTGTGGCTGCAGTGACCTTGTGATGACCGCTGGTGACAGATGTGTGAGGTGCTGGTGTCCGACAGTCCTAAAGGATTTACTGGGATTTTGTCTGCTCTGACAGGCTGCAGATAAACTACTCTGATTGTCAAACCCGTCACATCCTGGAGTCGGACAGCGCTCGTTCAAAGCTTGACTGGATGACTAATGATCTTGAGTGTAATGTTTTTTCCCCCAAAGTGTCAGTTCATCTACTTTTGGTAATATATCTTTTTTTTATGACACACAACAAGAATATTTAATTTTGTGCATGTCATAATCCAGACAGTCTGTGTCTTGTGATCAGTTTAATATTCTGCCAGATTTAATACATTGTCAAAACTGAAGCCACCTCCAATTTTCTTTTACCTAGTCAGAAGTTAATACCATTCAATCAAAAATGTGAATATTTCTCATTTCTCAGTCCGTTGCCATATTGGGGAGTGTCTGTCAGTAATTGATGCAGAGAGGCCGAGGCGCTGTGACGTGACCCAGTCCCCTACTTCTTTGCACCTCTCATTCTGCCCATTAGTTTTGGATTACCCGCTCTCTCTTCCCTCTCACTCAGACTGGCAGCTGAAGATAATAGCTTTCATAATGTGGGGAGATTCATTCTGAGCTCCTCAGTGTTTCGCCTTATGAGAGAACAAAAATGTCGGGCCCACTGAGCCTATTCATTTTCTGTATTGGGAGATTAATGAGAACAGTGCTGTTCCAAGCCTTTTGTGACAGGCTCCAGGGCGTGCAGAAGGACCGCTGTCTGACACAGTCACACCGCTGACACCAGCATCTCCACTGACACTTCATTAGGAGTCTGGCACATGAGCACTACTCACTGCATGCATTGTTTTCATAGGGTTTGGGTCAATCAGGTAGTTTTGGAGTTCTATTTAATATTTGTAAACCAACTAAATCTAAAAGTCATGATTCAAACAGGCTAAACTTTAGTGATGCATGTAAATCATGAAGTGTAGTGAATACAACCAGTTGGGACTGTTTGAAGTCCAATGTTTGCCTCCTGTAACCTCACACAGGTTACTACTGGGAATGCAAGGGATACGAAACAGACAAATGCAAATACATCTGTTTGCATTGTACTCCTATTGGTTCTTGATATTCAATATTGATATTCAATACTTTTTATATTTCCTTAGTATCCATCTTTGGTATGTAAAAACACTGTTCAATATGTATAAAGTGACATTGAAATCTAGATATTTATTTTATTTTAAAATAAAATAAATGTCTAGATTTTTTTTTTTTGTGTGTTTTATTACGCTACAGAAAACACATGTTTGATGCAGTTCCAACACAGAACCCGGTTCTCCCATGTCTCCTGTACACTAAATATAGTGACTGATTATCAGTGTCTACTGCCTTTGTTTACATTTGTGAATAATATATAAAGTATGATATATTATTACAAATCTTTGCCAAGTGTTGATGAATGGTATCCAGAGAGAGAGAGAGAGAGACAGATATATTTGTGGGCCTTATGCATACTGTGTGCCAGTTTGGCAACAGCACTAGCACTTACACGCACATTAACAAGCCTGTGACTTTATTCTTTGAATTATACATATTTGTTTTCATTACCACCTCTGGTACCAAGCCTCACCATGCTTTGTAAGAACATGCTTCAGATGTGCTTGGCACACAGTGTGTCTGTGCAGTGCAGTTTGCCAATGATGTCTGATTAGGAGTGCGAGGGGAGATTAATAGATGTTTCTTCCTCTCATTTGTTATCACTCTTTTAGAGGATTGACTGACTCAGGCCTGTGATAAACTGAGGAAAGGCTGTGCATTTCCTGAATGTGACATTATCGTTGTTCTCGTCAGCCGGCTCCTTGTTGACGCCATGTCTGCTCTGACAGCACATCCCCAGTCGGCTGCCTATAGGCCTGTACAATCTCAGCTGCAGAGTGAAGGTGTTTGGATGTGCATTTTAATCCTGGCCTGT